TGGGGGGTCGGCCCGAGTGCGTGTGCGTGTGTGTGTATGAGTTTGTGCTGTGTTGTGTGTTGTGTGTGTGTGTGTGTGTGTGTGTGTGTGTGTGTGTGTGATTATGTGTGTGTGTGTATGAATTTGTATGTGTGTGGGAGAGAGAGACTCAGCAATCAACATTTGCACCAATAACTCACTACAGTTGTGACGGGTGTGTGGAAGTGTGAATTGCTCATTACTCTAAAATTTGTTCATTATTGTAGCCATGTATAAACGTAAGTAACCATTCTTACAGTATTCATACTTGTAACTTGTGAGTTCATTACCTTTGAACTTGTGAGTTCATTACCTTGTACCTAGTTCAGCCATCAAAACTTTGGAGCCCGGTCCCTGGACCCATTGTGTACCTCTGTAATCTGTAAATACCTTTGTAACTTGTCATGATTGTGACTAGACCTACCTGGAGTTCATTACCTTTGTAAATTGTGAGTTCATTACCTTTGTAAATTGTTGAATTCATTACCTCTGTAACTTGCTCAGCTATCAAACTTTGAGGCCCAGTCCCTGGACCAATTATGTACCTCTGTAATCTTTTGACTACCGCCCACAGGATGGGTATGGGGTGCATAATAAACATATTAAACTTAACAACACACACACGCAGACCTGGTCCAGCAATTGGCTCCTGGAGTTCAATCCCACCAAGTGCAAAGTCATGAAGACTGGGGAAGGGCAAAGAAGACCGCAGACGGAGTACAGTCTAGGGGGCCAGAGACTACAAACCTCACTCAAGGAAAAAGATCTTGGGGTGAGTATAACACCAGGCACATCTCCTGAAGCGCACATCAACCAAATAACTGCTGCAGCATATGGGCGCCTAGCAAACCTCAGAACAGCATTCCGACATCTTAATAGGGAATCATTCAGGACCCTGTACACCGTGTACGTTAGGCCCATATTGGAGTATGCGGCACATGTTTGGAACCCACACCTAGCCAAGCACGTAAAGAAACTAGAGAAAGTGCAAAGGTTTGCAACAAGACTAGTCCCAGAGCTAAGAGGTATGTCCTACGAGGAGAGGTTAAGGGAAATCAACCTGACGACACTAGAGGACAGGAGAGATAGGGGGGACATGATAACGACATACAAAATACTGAGAGGAATTGACAAGGTGGACAAAGACAGGATGTTCCAGAGATTGGACACAGTAACAAGGGGACACAGTTGGAAGCTGAAGACACAGATGAATCACAGGGATGTTAGGAAGTATTTCTTCAGCCACAGAGTAGTCAGTAAGTGGAATAGTTTGGGAAGTGGATGTAGTGGAGGCAGGATCCATACATAGCTTTAAGCAGAGGTATGATAAAGCTCACGGCTCAGGGAGAGTGACCTAGTAGCGATCAGTGAAGAGGCGGGCCAGGAGCTCGGATTCGACCCCGCAACCTCAACTAGGTGAGTACAACTAGGTGAGTACACATACACACACACCCTACACACACACACACTACACACACACACACACACACACACACACCCACATACACACACACACACCACACACACACACACACACACACACACACACACACACACACACATACACACACACACACACACACACACACACACACACACACACACACACACACACACCACACACACACACACACAACACACACACACACACACACACCACACACACACACACACACACACACACACACACACACACACCCACATACACCACACACACACACACACACACAACACACACACACACACACACACACACACACACACACACATACACACACACCACACACACAACACACACACACACACACACACACACACACACACACACACCAACACACACACACATACATACACACACACACACATATATGAACATATATGCCATATATGAACATTTACATACAGAGAAACACACGCATATGCAAAAGTGTACACTCATACATGAATATATGGTCTTGGTAGGTTAGCATGACCAGAACTTCCTACCACCCGGGCCCTCCCCACGAGCCCCTGGGGGGGGGAAATGGCAGACAGAGGGCCCAGCTTCCCCACGAGCCCCAGAGGCGGAATTTATGGGGCTAGGCCTGGGAAACTTGGTCCAGAAAATGGGAAGTACTTGTACCTCCTCCCATGGGAGAAAAGGTCTCAGACACTCCCAAGACAGGAGCAAGACCCGGGGTCCAATCTGGAAAGCCCGCACGGGGAGTACGGGAGAGTAAACCGGGAGAGTACCCGGGAATCAAGAGAAGTAGGATAGGAGGAATGCTATAACTATGGGTCTTAATTTTTAAAGTGGTGAAGTGGTAACCAGCGAAGGGGCCCTTTGTCAGATGGCCCAAAAACTTCAACAGCGGGTCATCATCTAAGACCAGCGTCAGAAAAGTTTGTCCTATTCCGACGAACCTAAAATAAACAAAATATCAATGAAACGTTCCCCAAAATGGCCTTTCAGCCCAATACAAGATTTTAGATTTGCACGAAGTGGCTAGTTTATTGTGCACTCTACATCCATCCTGTGGACGGTAGCGCGAGAGCATATGGATACACAAAAGGCCTAGGAACTAGGCCCCAAAGGGTTAACAGGAATACATATGGTTTAATTTATATTCACATATATAGTATACCCGAGGGGTAACTAGAACGGACGGTGTATATTAACATGAGTCAGGTAGGCTGTGGGAGGTAGTAGTAGTAGTAGTAGTAGTATTGGTAGTACAACTGTGGTGAGAAGGACATGTCAGCATCATGTTACAGCGGTCTCCAGGATGGGCAATATTCTGTTGATTAACAATTTGGATATAGTGTAACTTTGGGACTTTTTATGGATCGAGTTACTGACAGCAATTAGGGCAGCCTCTATGCATTTTCGCTGGCTAAAGCTCTCCCTTCACACGGGGAGAGTCCGGGTTCGATTCCAGGCGAAGGTAGAAACATTGGGCATGTTTCCTTACCCCAGTTGTCTATGTTCACCCACCAGTAAAATGGGTACCTGGGTGTTAGTGGACTGGTGTGGGTCGCATCCTGGGACAAAACTGATCTAATTTGCGGGAAATGCTCACCATAACAAGGGGTTTTCTATATAGTAGTATATGTCAGTGATGTCAGCTATGGTCTGTATACCTTGTACATGTACTGGTAGAAATAAAGATATTATTATTATTACTTAATTATTAAAGCCTCAGTGAACTTCATCAGGAGTACAACATAATCTTCGTGTTGAACTTGTGTTTTTACGGTTATAGTAAGTTTATTTAAGGTAAAGGTCCACATCAGTACAATTATTGTACATAATAACATGCAATACAACCACTGTGAAAAAAAAATAGTGAAATTCTAAGCACTTTCGTGATTTCTCACATTATCAGGACCTTGATAATGTAAGAAATCAAGAATGCGCATGGAATTTCCCTCTTTTTTCCCACAATGGTTGTTTTGCATATTGTGATAACACCTGTTAACTGTCAGCTTATTTACAATATAGTAACATGTGTCAACTACACAGAATATACTAAGCAACACAGACCCCAACTTATGCCTAGAACAGATTAACTCGGTGGCACTCGATGTATGCACAAGGCTTATTCCTCTAATAAAAAGGAGGAGTAGATGTAAAATAGAAAGAGACAGGGGCTCCCTTTACAGGTGATGGAAAAGAATAACAGAGCGGCTAAAAGAGGTCAATATATCTGAAATGCGTAGGGAGACACTGGTCAGAGAAATAGCAAGCATCGAACTTAAGCTAAAGGAATCTTATAGGAGTCGGGAATCGCGGGAAGAACTAAAGCCATAAATGAAATCGAAAGAAACCCAAAGTATTTCTTCTCCTATGCCAAATCAAAGTCGAGAACAACGTCCAGTATTGGGCCCCTACTTAAACAAGATGGGTCCTACACAGATGACAGCAAGGAAATGAGTGAGCTACTCAAGTCCCAATATGACTCAGTTTTTAGCAAGCCGCTAACCAGACTGAGAGTCGAAGATCAAAATTAATTTTTTATGAGAGAGCCACAGAATTTGGTTAACACAAGCCTATCTGATGTTATCCTGACGCCAAATAACTTCGAACAAGCGATAAATGACATGCCCATGCACTCTGCCCCAGGGCCAGACTCATGGAACTCCGTGTTCATCAAGAACTGCAAGAAGCCCCTATCACGAGCCTTTACCATCCTATGGAGAGGGAGCATGGACACGGGGGTAGTCCCACAGTTACTAAAAACAACAGACATAGCCCCACTCCACAAAGGGGGCAGTAAAGCAACAGTAAAGAATTACAGACCAATAGCACTAACATCCCATATCATAAAAATTTTTGAAAGGGTCCTAAGAAGCAAGATCACCACCCATCTA